ACATGTATGTGATAAAATGGATTCTAATATAAATTCTACTTGACATTAACTAGACACCTATATAAGTATACATATGAGCACATTACATAATTAAATATATAATTAAATCAACAGAAAGTATACTTTTTAATCACTCCTTAAAACAAGCTGGTACATTTGTTTAAAAACAAATTGTTCATGCGAAAATACAAGCTAGTATTGATAAAGGCTGTCTTGTAAATAAATTGAACAAAATAAATATGTATAACAACGTTGATATATGGAAAACGAATGAGCAAAACATGACTAGACGTAAAAATAAATAATAATGTGGAGGAAGTAATAGGGTAAAGCACTGTAAATCCCAAGAATACAATTCTTTTTTCACCTCTTTCCGTTCAATATCTCTCTAATTATTCAGGCGGAAAACATCAAATTATACAGTATACCAGTGGAACGTTTTACATACTATATACACCAATTTAGACAAAATACAAAGACCAGTCTTCAAACAAAAAAAAAAATGCTAAACAAAGAACGAAAACGGAAATGCAATGTTTTCTACACTAAATATTTTCACAGCGAACCATAACAGTAATACTAAAAGTCAATAAATTCACGTCTATTTTGTTACATAAAAATTTTTGAATACATCAAAAGTTTATTTCGATAAAATAATTTTAATCTTGAATAATAAATTTTGATTGCACGGCTTCTACACTTATGAAAAAAACGGTTTTACAAATCAGATCGAACTGGAAATTTAGGTATACGTTTTTTTAGATACTTGGGAATATATAAAGAATATTCAAACTCCATATTTGCTTTGCTTAGTTTGAATTCACATGCCATTCACACTGGCTCCAGTGCCTCCACACCTTCCAGGGATTTTATACTGGCATTACAGTGCCTTTACATAAATATCGAAGAGTAAACATACAGTGTGATTATGATGAAGAAATTATTCTTCTCAACGTATCAATAAGAAAATTTACTCAGTAGTTATATGTAATTATTGTTAATTATCAAATGTTAATTAGGAAAGTATGGGGAATTGCATGTATAACCTCTAAAAAAAACTAAAAAATCCGATTGATGTCGCATAGTGTGGAAGATAAGAGATGTCACACCTAGTTGGTACGAACAAAGATTAAAAAAAAAAAAAGGAAAGAGGACATATAAGACGAAAGGGTATGAAAAAAACACTGGACCTAAGAAACTTAAAGTTGTGTTTTTTCTTTTTACTATCCTTCTTGTTTTCCAGATGTTACTTTTTTTCCTTTGTTTCTTTATGACTCCTTTATATTTATCTGATCCAACTTTTTTTGTCTTACCACAACTGTATGAAACAACAACACGACTCATCGGCATTATTTTTTTTTTTTTTTTATAAATAACAGCACAATGTATTGAAGTCTTGTGAAAACAAAGTTTGAATTTTCACGGTCTTTCAAACTCCAAAAAACAGAGACGACCTTTGTCATTATAAAAAAAAATTTTTTTATCATTTTAATGTGGTAATAAGAATTAAATATATTGTGTATTGACTTGATTATTATTTTAATTAATTAATATATTTATTTTATTTATCGTATCACCATTTCATTATTAAACTTTTACTCTTTACTATTTAAAACGTATATTGCACTTCCATCCACTCCTCTACTTTGAGTCTTTTAGCTTCGAAAATGAGGTTTCCTCTTTCTGAGTACTGAACATGAGACAACCTATAGACTTTGAGTTTCAAGAAGTAAATAGCATTTACTAAATTAATTTATTTTACAATCCTACATCTATACATATTTATTCTCAAATCCAATATTCTATCTGCTACATCCTAGCACACTACACTTATTCGTGTCGACAAATTCACATTTATTATACAGTATTTACGTTAAAAGCAATGTTTTATTTGTATCCTATCTGTATATATATACTATTTGTTGCTCAAACATTTCTGAAGCATCTTATTCATTACTTAAAAATTTCTTTTACTTCTTTTTTATCTACAAGAATTAATAAGTATCTTTATGCCCAAGTTTCGTCGTCTAAGTCAAGCAAAAAATCTTTACAATTTTATCAGTTTCACAAATATGAGATACAGAAGCTGATGGAGCAAATTTAACAAGTCGACACTTTTAGTCAAAGCGGTCTCGTAAAGTAATCAAGCTGGACGTATGGTCAGACGCTGTTGCTGTCAAGTGTAATCATAAAAGCATGAAAATGAGCGTTGGTAATTTTAAAATTAATCAACTCTCCTTTAATTTTGATTTTTTTAATTTTTTCACACCAAAAAAGACGAGTTTTTAATTTAAAAAATAAATTATCTTGTAAAATTAATAAAAATTAATTAAAGAAATTATTATAAAAATTTTCTGTGTATAGGAATCTACACTTTTACATTTAATTTATGTAATATATTCCATATATAATGATGCTTAAATTTATTTAAATATTTGCAAAGTTTACAATTTAATACGATTGTTGACTTTTTGAAAAAAAAAACCAAAGAATAAATAATGACATGCTAATTAAGTGTCAATAGAATAATGGATTTTTTAATTTTTAACTAGATAGTTTATTACAAATTGAATAATTATTTTCAAACATTTTTTTTTTATTGAAATACCATGCTCATTAGAATATATTTTTAATTACATCATGATATAATACCATCTATAATCATCTTTGTGATTATTAATAATTAAATATCAAACATTATTTAATGAACTCCTATTAGTAGAATAACGACCTCTTCAATAAACTACGTAAAATGAAAGATTTCAATATTCAAAGTCGCCATTTTTATTGTTTAGCGTCATTCGCTTCGTGAAATATTTTTCTCATTAAAAAAATGAATCAAACAATATTGATATACTTTTACAGTCATCAATTATTGAAGAAAATTAATTATATTTTAAGGTTATAATACAATACTTACCCTTCAATCTCTGCCAATGTTTTTTTTTTCACTGAAATAAAGTTTAATTCTTATCAAATGTGTCTTAATAAATGTAGACAACTTGTTATTTCACTGGATACAAAAAAATTAATTATCACTCACAAACACACACGTTTATTATGAATAGATGTAAAATTTTAGTAACATTATTTCTTACAATGGCACCGTTAAATGTAATAATATGAAATCGCGTGACAGTAATATTTAGTAAGCAAATATAAACCAATATTTACACGTGGAACGCGAACGCGAAACTGCGGTGTTTCACACTCACTAATACGCTGCAGGGGGTTGGCGCATGCGCATTACGCAAGTCTAGAGAGTGAGGGAAAATAACCCTCTACCGGTGTATTATCAATGTATACAACAATTTAAAAAAAAAAAGTGATAAGCATAAATTGTTTTTCAATTCGTGTAATTATATTTATTTTATTAATTAATCCATAATAAAACAACTATTTAACAATATTTTTCTAACCTTTGTTCAATTGTTAACCTCGAACAAAATGAGGTTAAAAAACTTATCAATAATAATTTTGAAAAAGTTTATATTTTATTGGTAAAGTTATAATGTTGAGGTATTATGTGAAAATTTAATAATTAGAATCGAGAGAATAGCGAATCCTTTGCGGTCAATTCCAGATGTCTGTCTGATCAAAGCGTTACAAAGGGAAGCCTCAACAGGCGCAATATGACAACGACTACAAGTCAACGTGTCATAGTGATCAAGAGGTACTTCTCGTAATTTCCGGCACTAGGAGTAAAACAAAACAATGATCAAGTAGAGTGAATGTTTGTGACAGAATCCACTTGATCACTTGAAATGGATGTGATGATAACGATATATAGATTCACACAATATAAAATCACATCGATTGAACACCTGTCAGTCCCTTATCATTGTAATGCTCATTGTTAAACCCTGTTAAATTACTAAAAATACGATTTTAATTATGAAAAAAAAATACATTCAATCTTTATTTAAAAAATTAATATAACAGTAAATTATTTGGTTTAGATATTTATAGAATGTATAAAGAAAAATTGTTCGTTATTGAATTATAAAACTTGGTAAAACTCAATATAAATTAGATGATTTTATAAAAGATTGTTAAAAAAATTATCTAGGTCAGATAATGCATATTTATATATAATCAATTTAAATTGAGTTGTTTTCAGTCAATTTTAATTGGATTGTCAATGGATTGTTTTGTTTTAAAACGTTTTATAAAATGAAATAAATAGAATAATGATGCTATTGTATTTTAACTATTATTAAGAAAATTATAGAGTAATTGTTTTATGGACTGAGTATTTTTAACAACGATAAATAAAAAAGATCATTATAATTAATTATATAGTTTATTCTATTATTATCATGTACAAATCAATACTTTTATATCAAAATAAATTCAACAGAAGAAAAATACAAATTATGATATTAGAATTTACATAAGTAATATTCAGCACATGTTTATGAAATATTTGGAATGAATTAATAATATTTAATGGTTATATTTACAAATATGTGTTGTCATATTATCAATGGAAGAACTCTCATTACATTTGACATTCTTTTAGGAATGTCTAGTTATTTTCTTTACACATTCGAATTTTTACTTTATAGAATCATAAACTATATCATAATTATAAAGAAATTATCTGTGTTATTTGAAAAAATAAATTTATCGTATTCACATTGTTTTTTTAAAATTGATTAAATTTCTAGGAAGCCGTTTCTTCCATTGATGAAAGTATTGGAATCTTGATTTTTGTAACACAAACAATTATTCATCGTTATATTTAAATACATTTATAAATGCTAAATTTTATAAATAATTTTCAGAAATAATAAAATAAACAAAAAATGATGATTTTAAAAATTGCTTTTTATGATAAATTCAAAAGATAAGTTATAAATTATTCGACGTGGTTCTTTGAAAATCAATCAACGTGATCACGGGTTTAATTGATCTTGCACTGTTGATTTTGTCATTATCAATTACAGTAATTGAGTTATTAACAATATCTATATAAATTATATTAAAAACAATCATGTTGAAGATGGATGATGAACATGATTCACAAATTTATGCCATTCTGATGCTTTGGATTAATTGAAATATCACTGAAAACATAAATAAAATTATTCAATACTTATTACTATTATTAAATTAATTAACTATTGGCTATGTAATTATTTATAATAGAAAATTACTTTACCTGATCCACAAACGACAAATAAAAATAATGCTAAAAGCCATGGTCCAACAGGTGATGACTCTTCTTGAGATTTCTAATAACAATTCAATATTTTATATTAAATATGTTTTAAAATCTATGAATAAATTAAATTTAGCTAGTATTCATTAAAACTATGACACAAAAATCATAATCTCTGGATAATAACGTTTTTAAGACTGATTAATAAATAACAGATGGCAAATTTAAATAATGTTAGCAATAAATTATTAATTGTTATAAACATAAATCCTTTAGGAGTAGTTAAAGGAAAATGAATGCTCCATATGACACTTAACAACCAGCTGTTGAATATTGACTGGTATAATATTTTGAAAAAAGTTTATTTGAATAAAAAAAAACAAAACTTACCGATGATTTTGACACATTGCCCCTCATCGTGATGTTTTTCATTGCTTTTTCATTAGCAATCCGCATTTTTTGTTTTGGTGCCATGTTTTAAAAGCAGTAAACACTCAGTTGATGTTGTATATGCTTCGTGGTCACTTAATTAATATCTCAAATGAGTATATGCTACTTCACAAGTAGACTTTTGTACAATATTAGTAGATGCTTACGCGTTCACTATGTGACACGTGAATACAACAGAAAATGTTTTCTACCGAAATTATTCCACGTTCACACTACGTAAGTCAAATCAGTCTTGAAAACATATTATCATATGGAATTGACATATGAACACGTATACCATATGTCAATGTTATTATTATACAATGGTGTGCTAAAGAAAGTCATTAATTCTGTGAATAATTGTCTAAAGATTCATAAAAAAAAAAATTAACCTAAGCAACTGATACCATAGTGTAATTTATTGTAATAAAAACCGAAGGTGAATTTTGTTTGTATCTATATTTTGATAATAACAAAAAAAGTAACTAGATTAGCAGAGACTATGCTGTGGAAATAAAAATTACACGAAAAATAGCACTAAATAATTCCAATGTTTTGTGGAAGAACTAGAATAGTGATGATTATCTCTAACTTTGTCGGTACAACAGAGAAGTTTATAGGTAAAATGTCGATAACATCAAGCGCTTATTGAGCCAATGATGATAACTGTTGATACCTGTGTGTATAAACGATTGTGGCGACATGCAGTGGCTATTCAAACAATTCACTTTCCGTTTCTCCACCCATAAGCAACAGGATCGTGAAATATTTTTAACAGAATGGAAAACGACAAAATTATTCACAATTATTCTATGGGCGTTGCCGTGTATATACACGTTATATTATGAAAGGATGCGTAATGCGTGATTAACCAAACATTCCGTGCGTTTAAAAGTTACAAGAATATTTTTTATTTTCTTCGACAAAAGATCAGTGATATAAATATTTTTATGTATTGAATTATTGTTATTGTAAAGAGAATTTTCTACAGTTTGTGATAATTGTCTACCAAACTTAGTTTATCATGGAAAGTTTTAAATTATTTGTTATCCTTGTTCTAATGGCATGTTGTGTTCATCAAGGTGATGATTTTTAAAATAAATTTACTATCACAATATCAAATATCTCTATAAATTATTAATGAAATCAATATTATTTTGATCTTTAGGTTTTACAATCAAATGTTGGGTATGCAGGTCAGATAATGACCCAAAGTGTGCTGATCCTTTCGATAATTCAACAATGCCAATTGCCGATTGTGATCATGAACAACCTCCAGAACATCTGAAGGGCATCAAATCAACAATGTGTCGAAAAATTCGTCAGAAAGGTTTGATTAGAATTTGTCTTTTACAATAATTTATATTTTCATGGATTAATAATAACATTTTTTAGTTCATGGAAAATGGACCTATTTTCGAAGTTGTGCTTTTATGGGAGAACCTGGAATAGGAGGTGATGAACGATTTTGTTTGATGAGAACAGGAACACACAATATATTCATGGAATATTGCACGTGCAACAGCAAAGAAGGCTGTAATACTAGTTCATCAATACAAAGTTCTTGGTTTATTATTTTATTAACAAGCCTAATAGGCGTAAGGTATTACATGACGTTAGCATAGTAATTTAATATTATTTAGTAAATAGTAAAAACTGTATGAAATGAATTTAGTTAGTTAAAACAACTTTTGGAGTAAGAAACTCATATTATGTTTTTAGACAAGTAAAATTAATTTACGAGAAAAGAATATCTCATGACAATTGTCATCATGTTATTAACATTGTGTCTTATTAAGTGGTACAAACTATCAAAAATTTTTTAGAAGCTTAAATATTTGTATTGTGAATATGATAATTTATTAATGTATTTTTATAATTTAAGTGCTATAAATCCGTCCAGGCAATTCTACATTATGTATTTTTAAATAATTTTTAACAATTTTCTACTTTTATAGTAATATTGAGAAAAAATAATATTTTTATAAAATGATTATGAAAGTAAGATTATAAAAAATAAATACGTGCCTTCATCTTGATGTAAATAGTAATATTTATTATACCATTTACTGGTTAATTCTTTGATCAATAAATATTACAAATAAAAATCAAAACTTGACTAATAAAATATTTGAAAAAATTAATAATAATTTTTTATATTATTACATTTATCAAACAGACATTAAAAATTTGTAAATCTTTTATTTTAATAAAAGTTGATTTTACAATGATACAATTATTAATGTTTACAAATTATGTTTCAAATAATTGAATAAAAACAGTTGAATTGAATCTTATATTTAATTGTTTTTGTGACATAATTATATTTCAAACAATATAATATACATACAGACATTTCTTGCATTTTTAATTTCTAAAGACTCAAATAGTGATTATTCTATAATTAAAAAAATTATGTTAATAATATAAAAATATAAATTCCAGTTAAAATGTTAACTGATACATTTTTCAAAAAGTTTTAATATCGGACGGTATTATCATCAGACTCATAAAATAAAAATCTTCGTTTTGATACTCATATCAAGCTATTCAAAAGCTTGCCATTTTGTGATTCTTTGTCCTGGTTTTGCTACTGCTTGTTTCCATTGTTCACTATAAGTTCCACCTACATCTGGACCAATAACGAAGTGACCGACAGTTGTTTTTTTTCCTAAAACAACGGAAATATTTCAATAATATTTGTTTGAATTTATATAAACCATCTTCAATTAACATGAAATATTTAGTATTGTAATTACCCATTTTATTTTTGGAGACAAATTTCACCACAAAACTAACATCCTTAAGAGCTCCCTCATAAGGGTTTTCAGCAATCACTTGGGCCTGGTCTTCAGCAAATTTCATAGTGACAGAAGGATTAAATCGATCACTTTTCCAAAAATGGGTTACTCTTCCATTATCTACCACAGACATTTTGATATACATTTGGCCCTTCAATGCTTCATGTTCATGCATGGTTTGTAGAGAACATTTTAATCGTGATAAACTTAAAATTAATCTTCCATCACTGATATCTTTTTTGTCACTTTTCTCTTGCACTAGTATCATTTCCACTTGTCCTTTTTTATTTTCTCTCTAAAATATTTATTTCAAATAAATGTTATACATTAAACATAATATACTAAATTTTTAGAAACATTATTAATATCAATAAAATAATTAGGTAAATTACCCTTTCTTCTGCTCCTGATATTCCACTAGCAATTGGCTTAAGAGGTTTCCAAACATCTCCTGTCGAAACATCATCAGCATGTTTAGGTCTTGATGGCTTGGTAACAAAATTCTTCGGGTCCAAAGAAATAGTCATTGCACCTACTGTTCTTCTTTTATCAAGAGTTTTCTTTTCTACTAAAATATCCTTATCTTTATCTTGACTCTTATTAAAAAATTGATTCAAAAACTTATGAGACTTTGATTCTTGACTTCCTGAAGCTACTGTAGATTCTCTTTTTTTCCCATCCTTCTTTGAGTTCTCACTTTTTGTATTTTCCTTGTCTGCTTCCTTCTTTTCTGTTGCTATCAATGGTTTGTCTTCTAATATTGCATACAAAGTAGCTATTATTAATTTCGAACCATCCAGCACGTCTTCAGTTAATTTTGATTTTCCAAATTTCATTTTTGTTTCCTTGCATAAATTAAAAATAAATTCCTCGTTCCATTGAGGCCATGATTCATTTTTTGCTGTCGTTTCAAATTTTTCTTTGTGAGGGAAAAATTTCACCTGCAAAATTACTTATGATAATGAAAATAATCAAACAATAATAAATATTTTTATCTAACAATAAGAACATTATATAAACACATAGTGCTTTTACCTTGACAACATAACTGTTTACTCTAGTAAATCCAAAATTCTGTGGTAAATGACGAGCTCCTAGAACTGTAACACTGATTGTTTTTTGATTTGGTGAATAAATAATCCTCAATCCAATCTCTGGCTCCAAATTAGCAGTACGATCCAATGGAGTCGTAACACTTTTGATACTAGTATCAAGAAAACTTTTAAGTCTTGCAATTGCCATTGTAATGATGTCACTTCTTTTTGACAATTAAGTCGTTTTATCAAGTTTTATCTTATCAGTGCATATGATTCATATGATAAGATTCATCGGTAAAAACATCAACTAAAAATCAAATAAAAAATTCATGAATTTTTATCTTTTTGAAAGTATCATTTGAATGTTTTTTTATTCATTGACACTCTTAAACTACTTCTTAATGAATATTCAACTATAAAGATAGAAGAATAATAGCAAATGTATATATTGATTAATTACTGTTCAATTAATTGATTTTTCTAAAAGCTTTTGTAACAAAGAAATCATAAAAATACCATTTATTTCACCTGAAAGTAATCAATAAAATTCTATATCAATCTTGTTAACTTTTCATTGTAATTTATGAATAACAAATAAAAAATTTTATGTTGCAATAGCTTGCATGTGACCTTATACATTATTTAAAATTTTTTAAATATTAACAAAATAACCTAGATATCCTGTATATCAACGATAATCACTAATAACATTTTTCCTATTAGAACTCTAGATACACACAACTCTTTTACGTTTAAAATCTCAATCAATAGATAAACATATACATTGACATTGATCTCAATCGTTCACCTACTATCAAGTACGTTCATAAAATTTATTTCAACTTGAATGATGACAATATAGCATAATAAATTATAAATAAACATCAAATACCTTTCATTATATTAAACCAATTGTCGTGTTGATTAAATCAAAATTTCCTTCTTAATAAATAACACAATAATAATTTCTTGAAAACACAGTAAAATTTAAAATATAGATTTAAACACACTCACATAAAATTAATATAATAATTTGATTTTATTTTATTCATTAATAGTCCAATGAAAAATTTTTAGTGCAACATAAAGTATGGTAAAAATAGATTGATCAAAGTTTGAAGGAACTCTGACAACCCAGCCTCTAGCTAAGTATCCTCTGATATGATGTGAATTCTTTTTATATTCTATGTAGAGACCGGCAACCTCAATGGAATCAACTGCAAATGGTGGAGAAGTAGGGACTATCGTTCCCGCTACTTAGCTGTATAGTCTATAATATAATATATTGTAATATATGAATAGAATGCTTGGTTTTCGTGATGAATACACACCAGTAATAATCGTATAATAGTAGGTACGTATAGTGTATGAATCAAGTTTGGTAAGTCGAACTGCTTGAGTGGGTTTTGATCTACGTATGGACTACACAAGGTCAAACTCGATTTATAAAACGTATATACATAATAATATAAGAAGTATATGGTACTATGCACTTTACAGAGAAATGACGCATAATAAAACGAAAGATATTGTCGTTAAAATAAATAGATCACATTTACAGCTACTATTTAAGTTCTTCCATTTTTTTTAGAGTAATTTTAAATATTTATTTATGTTTCATATTTCTATTATTATTATTGTTGTTAAAACATTTATTTAAAATGTAATGCGAAATAAATCGATCAACAATTTTGATGTAACGACGTAGAAACTATAAGACTCATTTTGAATTTAAATAAGAATTGCGATAAACAATACATAAAACACGTGTACTTAATGTTTACAATAAAAGTCACTTTAAAATGAACTTACATTTAAATGTTTAGGTTTTTAGTGAATAAATAAAAATTGTTGGTTTAATAATATGTAGTTGATACTTGTCTAAATGCAGCTTTACATTACGTATTGTAGAATTAGTTTAATTACAATTTGGCTATGCTGATTTCCTCAACGATATCATTGAAGGCAACAGACCGTCTTGGTGAATTAACTGAGTTTGTATTTCTGTGAATTTAATAAACATTTAATTAATCGTCTATATTTATATGTTATTAATTAAATATTAGTTTGAATATATTTATTTAGTATTAATCGTGCGTGATTATATGCAAGGATTTATAATTGTAATATATATGGAACAACCTTCAACGTCAATTTCATGATTAACTAATTTATAGATTATCATCGTGCGTGTGAAGTTTATTAAAATATAAAATTGATGATACTTTGTAAGATATATCATTTATAGAAGAGAAAAACTATTTTATTCAATATTAGAAAAAATAATTAATTATTAAAGTGAAGCAATTTTTTTTTACCTCTCTATTTCTCTCATTTCTTCTTTCTTTTCGGTAAAATTATTTACCTTTGGACTTTCTTTGGGAATAAGTTTGATTCTTCTGAAAAATAAAATTTACAGTGGTAGATTTATATGTAATTATTGATGTATTACTTTGAATGCCTTTCATTACCTCCAGTAAAGAAAAAAAGTAACAACGTGTCCAACCGTAAGTATTATTAAGAAAATTGACATAATAATAATAGTTGTGGTACAATAACAAAACTGCTCTTCTTCATCAGCATCTGATGGTGAAGTCGTAGGAGTTGTAGAATGAATTATTGATGAAGTTTTTCCAGGAAGTGATATATGAATAATTGTAGTTTCTTCTTCAGCTCCTTCTTTTTTAGCCTATTGATTGACATATTTTTATTCTTTCATTGTTTGAATTATTTTTTTTTGTTCTGAATTAAATCCATTTTACATACACTCAGAGTTAGAAGCACGTAACATTCGTTGAATAATTTTTCAGGGGGATTAATTAATACTATCTGAATTGCTTCGTGATTTGATGATCTGACCCATTTAAAATTTTGTTGATATTCTAAAAATAAATATTTTCCAATAAAACATCAAAATTCTCCAGTCTTTTTTTTTAATGATTTGAAAATAATAGATTGTTAACCAAGGGAGGAAAGTCCAATATTCTGACTCGGGTGTAAAATTGCATTGGGTGGCGTATGCAGAAAACAGGGAGAAAACTTTAACTTTAAACTGAGATATAAGAAAAATATTTATTTATTTAAATTCAGTATATATTTTTTTACCTCCAGATTGTTCTTTTAATGTGTAATTAATGGCTTCATTACCACCACTGCCTAAAGTTATATTTCCTTGTTTAAACGAGAGTACAGTACCATTGGCTTCTTCACTATTGAGTTTGGAGCAATCTGCGACATAAACTGGGTTTGTAAATTTGACAATAGAATTTTTTTTGTCAGTTATTATTGATATTGTTGTAGAATTAGTCAGTGGATTTTCTCCTGAATCCTACAAAAAAATTTACAACTTATTAATAAATGATTATTTTATTTTTAAAAAAGAAAAATAATAATTATAATAAATAAACTTCTTACTCGTGCATAAATACGAAAAGTAAAATTTTCCTTTCGATTAATGACAGATGTAGTAATAAATTTAGCTAAATGAGCTTTTTTCATTTCAGAATCTACCGACAACCATGAAGCATCAAATCCTTCCGAGTTAAAATCCGAAGAATTTAAAAAAAATGTAATGTGTGAATTGGTTAGATCAATGTCTCGAGCAGCAATTTTATTTAATAAATGCAGTGGAATATTTGCAGGATAAGGCATTGATAGATTAAACTGGTATGGAGCATTTATAAACTCTGGGTAATGATTATTTGTATCCATAATACTCTGAAGAATATCCTAAACTCCTTTAAATTAATAACAATTTTTTTTTTTATATAAGAACTATAAAAATTCAGATGTACAATACTTACAAATGATTTTTCATCATTAGATGTGCATTGGAAAAATACCTTAATTCGTATTAGATCACGATCCTGAAAAAATAGTGATTAATTTTAGACGATGATATGATAAAAAAGAAGCATGTTAGCCACGAGAGAAAAGTAAGATATTCTCACCCGGGTGTTTGCCACCCAATGCAATTTTACACTCGGGCCAGAATACCATACTTTTCTCCCTTGGTTAATAATCTACTGTTATGAATCAACTAGTCTGATTGTGATGACGTTTTCAAACAATTAAAATGATCAATAACTCACTTCGTAACATTCATAGTTTTTAAATTCATCTGTAAGGATAACACTAAATGTGTTATTCACATATGTTGGTTTTAAATAAGATTTTCGATTATTTGGAGAACTAGTTTTATCTTCAATTATTTTTTCAACATTCTCTGTAATCAAAACAAGCACAGGAGCAGACATGCTTGGTTCTTCGGTATCAAAAATAGGTTGTAAACTAATTCCATCCTGTAGATTTGTTTCAGTCAATACTGTATTATTTATCCATTTGAAAGTACATCCTGGTCAACATAAAATTAAAATAAAACCATGTTATTGAAACTAGTTGATGCATAAGTCAAATAGGTTTAGACTAATTACGATTTTTCAAATAAAATATTACTTTAAAAAAATTCATTGTTTATAATTATAACTCTAATTTTTATATTGGAAAAAACTATTATAACAATAATTCGAGAAGTATTTTTACATGTTTATGATTTTTAATATTTAATATGTTATGTTAACTGACCTTGGCAAACTATGTGTTGAATCAACAAAGTAATTAGATAATAAAAATAACAGAAATTACTGATGTTAAACATGGCTTAGAAAATATTTGATACCTTTCAGATTTAAGTATAAACGATAAATGTACTGTTTATTGCTTATTCTTATCATGATGACAAAGAGTTGATAAGAAATCAATCTATCGTTTTATCCCTCAGTGATAGTTAAAATAATGAAATGCATTAATCACCAAAAAAATAAAAATATAAATTTAAAAAATCGCAGTAAATATCATTTGAATATCTATTTTAAAATAGTAGGTATTGTTTTATTTTAATTATCCAATATCAAATGTATTTGTTGGTTATAATTAATTACATCTAAGAGTCTGATTTTGAATTTTAATGTGACAATCATTTTCTGCAAGCCATTTAAATAATGTTCTTAGACCGATAATTTTTTTTTTAACTCGCCTTCAGCTCGTGCGCATGCACTGAATGTTTTGGCTAACGCTATCGGTCTGAGGCAATAATACCTCACTTTGGTCCCTAGATGCGTAATGTACTATTTTATACTACCGGCTATGTATAAACCATCGTATGCATTCTAAGTGAGTTATTATTATCACCTCGAGCAGATGACATCAACACGAGTCACCTTCGGCTCGTGCGCATGCGCCTTACGTTGTGACTGACACTACTGTAGGCTGTTACCACATGCTATACACAAGTGTTTATATTCATAAATGTGTACTTATTTATCGTACCTGCAGAAAGGAGTTTAAATGGCAGATTATTGACTGGTTCTCCAAGTCTGTTCATTTAAACTCCTGGTAATTTAAGTACTCGAAAGAGGAATCCGGTTTAAAACACGGTGTAGTGGAGCGGCATCCATGATTCATTTTCCACGTGTTATTGTGATTTTCATTGTCTCATCTGATTTTTTATAAATCAGACACGTGTACGTCATTAGGTGTTAAGTTTGAGGCATTTTTTTACAATGGACAATGAAAATTCACACAGTTTGACACATCCAGATCTACCAGACAAATCGAAAAAACTTTATACATCGGCGTATGAAAATTTTATAAAATGGCGATCCAAGAAAGGTACCAGTTTAGCATCAGAAAGCGTACTATTAGAATATTTTACAGAACTTAATGAAAAATATAAACCATCAAGTCTTTGGGCAATTTATTCCATGTTAAAAAAGACATTAAGTATGCAAGAAAAAATTAACATTAACAATTATAATAAATTATCAAGTTTATTGAAAAAATTATCTCGCGGATTTAAAAGCACGAAATCACGAGTTTTGTCTTCAGAAAATATCGAGAAATTTATTAATGAAGCACCTGATGAGGTGTATCTAGTTACAAAAGTAAGTAAATTTATATAAATATTTACAATTAAAATTGATAAAAGAATTAAATATTTACAAATATTATATGTTATGATTATAGGTTGCCCTTATATTCGGAATAATGGGAGCTTGTCGGAGTCAAGAATTAAAAAATTGTACAATTGACGATATCACTAAACAAGGAGACATATTTCTAGTTAATATACCCAAGACTAGCACTGAGAAATCAAGGACATTTATAATCACTGAGGATTATGCTGAGATAGTTCAAAAATACCTGGACCTACGAAACGTTAATGCACCAACTAATCGTTTTTTTTTGAAATTCACCAACGGTAAATGTACAATACAAGTTGTAGGTCGGAATAAATTTGCTAAAATGCCACAAGAAATTGCCAAATTTTTAAAACTAGAAAATCCAGAAACTTTCACAGGCCACTGTTTTCGAAGAACTGGGGCCACTGTTGTTGCAGATGCAGGAGCATCAATAATTGATCTCAAAAGATTTGGTGGATGGAAGTCAAGAAGTGTGGTAAAGGGATACATTAAAGAATCTATTCAAAATAAACAAAAATTAGATGATACTATTGCTGATGCAATTAACTCTACAAATTCTAATAATTCAATTGATATTGATGAATCACCTGCAATGATCATTAAAGATTCTTACTCTGAAGAGGAAAACACAAATAGTAACCCGTGTAGTACTGATAATTTAAATGAGAATAAAAATACTATTATTATCGATAAGACATCATCTAATACCAACTCAAATCTTAGTTCATATCTCAACAACACTGACGTTCTTTCACTAAATGGAGGACTCAAATTTGAAAACTGCTCCGTAACTATTAATTACTACAATAAAAATTAATTATTATATTAAATTGTTAATTGATAAAATTCTATCAATAAATTTATTTTTTTAGAAATTGATTATATTCTCGAAATTTACAATTAAAAAAAAAGTATTTTTCTGTTGATTAGAAAAAAACTGATTGTCATAATTTTTGAATTAAAAAATTTTTATGTTGATTTTGTTACAATCAATTAAAATCCAATAATGGGATAATGTTAATAGTTTTTTACAATGACAAAATATTTATGTTAAGTTTTGGATATCTAATTAAAAGTTACTAATGTAACAGTGATATTTTTATGTTTTTAAAACTGACGATAATGAAAGATTTATTTTTTTTTAAATTATATAATTCTAATAAGTTGATCAAAAAAATATTATATATAATAAAAATACAAACATTGAGTTCACTTATAATAAACTGAAAGTTTCACTGAAATTCAAAAATTTAATTTTAATTCATTGAACCTATGTTCCATAATATATATATATATATATATATATATATATATATATTTATTTTATTGAATTTTTATTTTAATACTAACAATGTTTTTTTAATTTTGTGTCACTAATTGGCCCATTTAAGCTCCTCTTTACGGCTAGAGCAAGCCTTTCTATCAAACCTACTTGTATATAAAGTATCAAATGCATCTCGCAGCTTAACGTCATCTTGCTGAGATAATAATAGCTCATTTAAGCTACCAGGTACATTATGCATGTACTATAATTGATATTTATATTTTAATCATTAAAATTTAAATAGAAAATCCGCGCAAAATAACATCACACATGCGTAATGGTGTAGTTGCAAAATTTGAAAAACATTCTCTTTTTTCAGCAGCATCTCCAAAGAAAATAGTAAATAAAATATCTCCACATTTTAAAATACTTAGTAAAAATAAAATGTTGGTCAATTGATTCTAATCAATTTCAATACAGGAGTATTGAAAAAGACCTTTCACATTGCTCATGGCTCATTTCCATCATTTCTATTTACCGTATGGTACATATACATATATAGCAATGCTTATTTTCTACTCAGTCCCACACAAACGTAATGCACACAGTGGATTTTATGTACGAGTGTGAAAAATATTGTACCAATTGTGGGTGTGTTATTGCGTATCATCTGTCAAATTGTTATTTTAAATTTTTGTTGGATTGAAATTATGAGAAAAAAATTAATTATCGGAGTTGAATGAGTACAAGCAACTTTCATTTTTCCAATCGTTGAGATACATGGAGGACTTTTGGTGGACATCGACGACTTGTAATCACCACATTGTAAGGTTATATTCATTTTTTAAGTCTACATATTGTTGATAATATGTACACCACTTAATTTATAAATAATTTCATTTTATTACATTCAAAATATTTTTGTTAAGGTTAAAATTATAAAGTGGATTCAACGATAAAAACATCATGCATTTTTCTATACCAGATACTCAAGAGTTCATAGACACAACAGGAAATTCTTATGTGGTAAAAAAGAAACAATTTTTTTTTATAAAATCCTGTTTATGTATAATTGATTATCGTAATTGGTTTATTATATTATGTTTCAATTTTTAGGGTTATAATATCCATATAAATGGACTATTCCATTGTACAGTGAGATATAAACAGCTACTCAATCTTCATGAGCAACTGATTAAAAACATGGATGTGATGTTACCTTCTTTTCCACCAAAAAAATTTTTTCCATTAACTGCAAATCAACAGGAAGATCGACGTCTATGTTTGGAAAAATATATTCAAACAATTGGACAAAATCCAGCAATAAATAATTCAAAATTATTAAATGGATTTTTATTAAACGCACAACAAGAAACCTTTTCCAGGATGATGGAAAGTGTTGATTTGTCTGTGTTTTTAATGGATAATCAAAAATTAACCTTAAAAGTGTCAACTGATGAAAATTCTCAAAAAGTATTGGAAAAAGTATGTAAATTAATTAATTTACCAAGAAACTATGAATCTTATTTTTGTTTATTTATCATCACTAAAACTGGAGATAACAATATAGATATTCTAAGAAAGTTACATGATTTTGAATCACCAGTTTTAACAATGGATAATATTAATCAATATGAAAAACAGATAGTAGTAGGAAAGAATTACTGGGATATCACTAATGATTTGAAATTAATTCAAAATCCAATTTCTTTGAATTTACTTTATATCCAAGCAATAGCAGAAGTAGACAGAGGTTGGATTATAGTTCCTAATCAATTAAAAACTCACTTGAATAGTCTTAAAGAAGAGGAAAACAAAGTAGAATATTTAAAATTAGTTAGCACTTTTAAATATTATGGATATCTACAATTTAAAATGTGTTATTGTGACTATCCGGAACCTGGCACAAAAGTTATCGTATCAATTGGAGGCCATGAATTAAATTTAAGAATTTATATTGACGATGAAGAACATGAAGCAATGTTTAAAGTTACTCGAATGCGTTGTTGGCGTATTACAACTCTACAAAATGGATTTGATAAGAAAGAAGATCCAAATAATTTTAGTTTAGAGTTATCTTTTGAATATTTAGTGGCGAAAAATCAATTACAATGGATAACAATATCATCAGAACAAGCTATTTTAATGTCAGTATGTTTACAAAGCATGATTGATGAATTATTATTGAAGCATGTTCATAATCCTAATAAAAATAACCAAATGTCTGATAAATCATGGACCTATGTCACAAGAGATGGCCACAGTCGCGTCATTGTTAGCTCAGGTTTACCAGATGATATTGACAATGTACAAAAAGATAAACCAATCCAGGATTCAAATGCGTCAGATTTAGTTATTAAAAAATTTTCTGATCGATTCTCTTCAAGTATGAAAACAAAAAAAACTGGAGATGTTAAAAATTTGACTAAAATAAATCCAAAAGGTACAAGTAGCTGTGATATCATGGAGAACAATGCATTTCATATGATAGGTGATGATGATCTTTGAAGAAAACAATCATTCCGAAATTAATACAGTGATTTTTAAATCAGATAAAAGAAACAAATGTACTATTCTCAGAATCAACACTTCATTGTGTATTATTTGCATGATTATAAACGTACTATGTTATTTGAATTTACTTATAAGTGATTAAATTCAGTTAAATCTGCATAAATATGTGTAAACCGGAAAAATACATGAAAATAATTCCGTCCTAGAGTTGAGAGCAAATATAAAAAATTTAAATTCATTTATAAAAGGAATTAAATTGTTATAGTTTTATCATTTTATATTATGTTTAATCAATTATTCATTAATCGGAATTATCGAATAAGAATTTGTGCCAAATTTTTTTACAGTGAATGAATAAAAGAACTAAAAGTCGATATTAAAAATAAAAATATCTATATCAACTTGAGTGCTGAACTAGTTGAGATGAAAAATTATGATTTACAAAAATAATTGTCATATTGCTCAAAAAAATTACGCTGTCATGAAATACATATATATATATAAAATTTCTAAGGAACTGTTTATCAAGCGGAAAGTTTTAATGAGCTCGAAAATGAAAAGAATTCATCAAACCGTCCATTAAGTATGATAAAAATTGACGTTTTTTAATTCTTTTTTAATTTCATTATAAAAATGAAATATTTTGTTATTTTTATGAATTATATTAATAAATTATTTCTTTTCAAATTGTGATTTATAATTCTAGAAATACTATTTTTGATAATAATTGCAAATAATTCCATTATTTAATCGACAATTGGTTACACTAGATACTTTTAGTGTAAATTATAAGAGATCTTTATAATAACAATGAATAAATACCAATTAGAAAATGACATTGTTTATTATTTTTATGATATATTTTATATTATTGCTAGTGTTTAATATTTTAAATTATAAATAAGAGAAGCACCAGTTAATGATTATATAAAGCCATGTTTTATTAGTGGAAAAAATAAAAAATGTTAATTTTTAAACTAATATTCTGTGTAATACATATCCTGATTATAAGCATTTTTAATGAGGCATATGATTATGGTACATTAAAATCCATTATTTGGGCGCTTTATTATTACTATTATTATGATAATTATTATTAATTTTATAGATGCATTTTTTACATATCCAGGGTTACTAAAATTTCACACATTTGTATAAAGTCAAGGCCCCTCAATAACGATTGTGTATTTTTTTTTTGTTACATTTACTCTCCTTTTTCTTCATTTTTCACTCTATCTTGAATATTTTAAAATAACTATTACGTATTTAATAATTATTGAAAAATTTTACAGTATTTACTCTTGATTGAAATGTTTTTACTGACATTAAGTCATTCCTATAATATAATAATATTCATTTATTGACATTAGTGAATTTTATTTACTTATTAGTAGAATATTTTTAACCGTGGAATATCTTTAAAACTTATTAGCATTCTTTCTATCATCAACGAAATTATCTTGGTCAATTTATTGTAGTTTTATGGAATTAAATTGAGATATAATATTGTGTATTATGTGAATTCATGATTTCTATATCAAAAATATGTTATCCTATGTTGTCTATTTGTTAATAAAAAAAATTGCGATAATTAGTTTGTTATTAGTTATTCTTATGCATAGTATTACACACTAACACTTCAATTTTGCAAGAATTACTTATATGCCCATGAGTACAGAGAGGAAATTTCATTTGAGAAAATTATAATTTTCAAATATTAAGTAACAATTGTTCGAAAATGACTATATTATAATAATAATTATTATTATAGTTATTAATAATAATTGAATAGATCAGAATCATTTTAATTAACGTATTAGAAATTGATGAAAATTTATACACTATGTTAATATGTTTAATTTTAAAATTATCCATAATTATTATAAATGCCATAGTACGGAAGACTAATTCTTGAATTTTCCAGTTAATTTTCAATTACAAATTTTTTTTCAACGATTTTATCAGAATAATTATTATTTTAACGAATGGTCATTACACTGTTAATCATATAAAAGATAATAAAATTATTTTTTATAAACAAATATTAATTAGTTTTGATAATTATTGAAATTATTTTTATATGTTAACTTATAATCTAAAAAGTTAAATTTATTAATTGATTTTTATAATTTTTGAAAAATATTAAGATATTATGTATCGTTTTATATATGTTCATATTATAAAAATTCAATTAAAACTAAGTAACAATATTCTCATACTTAATCATAAAAGGAAACATAATTTTCATTACGATTAACGATGTAATAACCATTAAATAATTAAGAAAAAAAATTAAAAAATAAATATTACTACTTATCTTAATAATAATAATTACTTAATTAATGGTTAATAATTAAAAGAAAGAAGAAGTTTTATACACAAAAGATTTGATAAAAAATCTTATTGAATATTACATTATACTAAGTTTGTTTGGCATTTACAATTTTATGTACGAATTAATAAGAATGATTGTATCATATAGACTAGGCGATTGAAAATCTGTTAATAATAAAATTTTATGATAAAAAATCATAATACTTTTAGTCTATAATAGTTATCTGAAACTAATATTTAGTCGTTTGTAGAAGTAAAAATTTAAATTATATTTTCTCTTCATTTTTTTCATACAAATAGATACTGCATTCCAGTAATTCCTGCTTATTTGATTTCTAATCATCACTATCGTCATGTATATTTAGATATTGTTTATAATAATACATTAATAATAACTCTATTCAATAAAAATTGAGTATATTTACTACTTGTATTTCAAATCATATAAATTATACTACATTGGCAGCGTAAAAAGTATCATTCACCAGGCCAATATTTTCTTATTAATTCAATCTTTAAAAATATTTGATCATAAATTTATTTTATTTAGAAAAAAAATTAAATTTCATTATCAAAAACAAAAGACATGAATTATAAATATCGTAAACAGTGAATAAAAAAAAAATTTTTTTTTAATTAAACTCACAATAATGGTTATAGCATAAAATTTATAAATTTATACAACTGTACACCTGTTATCTATCACACTCCTAACTTACGTATAAAAATTACCGAACCGTTAGAAGTTTTGTTGACGTTTTCTTTTTGTATCCATGGCATCGAGAATTGGTTGTCTCTTTGTTTGATACCTCCTTCGAAGCTCATCAATCTCACGTTCCATTTCAGCATCCAAATTAGCCATACGTTGCTGAAGTTCTTCATATGACAGGAATTTTAACTGCATCATACGGTTGTTTATCTAGTATTAAATTTTTATCATCATGCCTAATCTAATACATCTAATTTATTTGCTTTTCAATTCTTTTAAAATATTCATAATAATTTCAAATAAAAATATAATGATTTTGCCTCCATAATTAATGAAGAAATTGAACAAAACAATAATAATAATACTCACAAAGTCAAAGTCACGTTCAGTAAAAGCATTTTGGAATTTAGAAACATTATTATGTGGTTGATCAGGCATTGGATGAGAAATTTGATTGAGCTGAAGCTGTAAGTGACTTTGAAACCTCTGAGATTCTGTAGGTATCTGCACATCTATCTTATTTTCAGTTTCTGTATTGTGCATTACTTGACCATTCCCCTAGAAAATAATTGTATAAGTTTGTAGAATTAATCATAATATATATAGACATGTGCAACTTACTTTGACAATTTCTGGTGCTTCTTTTTTATCGAAATGATCAAGAAATAATGGCCGATATTTCTTTCCTGACTCTACTGAACCTGTATTGTGCCCTAAATTGAAAATAAAATTAATACAAATAAAAAAAAACAGTTCCTCTTGATTGTGCATAAAATTATTATATAAATATACTTTTCATTGTTGCTTCTGTATCAGTATCACTATTTATAACCATAGTGCCCAGATCTAAAATTGCCGAAACTAATGTTCCCGTATCAGGCAGGTCATGACTTGGAACTAAGGTTCCTGGATCTTCTGGTAATGGTTTCATTGTTCCGCTACAGTCTTCTTCATCCTATAATTCATTACAGAATATTTTATTACACGAATTTTACTGTCTTAATGATAAGAAAGGGATTATTTTCCAACAACTCACTGAGTCATCTATATTATTTTGACTTTTTATGGCCACGTTATTAATAATATGTGTACGATGAGCACTTTGTTTTTCTCTAATTTCATGTGCCTCTGCAATCATTTGACTAAGAATATTAGGCTGTTTAGCTGCACCAATAAATTCATGATTTAATAGTTCTGTAGCAGTGGCACGTTCTTCAGGATTTTTTACGAGACATACACTAACGAAATCAATGAATTCTGGACTCCATTGATCTGGTTCTCTAAAACTTGGTGGTGGCTTTGTTGGTATCATGAATATTGCTCTCATAGGATGAATATCCCCATACGGAGGTTTTCCTTCTGCCATTTCAAGAGCTGTGATACCTAAAGACCAGATGTCAGCCACACAATCATAACCAATTTCTTGAATTACTTCAGGTGCCATCCAAAATGGTGTGCCAATAACAGTATTTCTTTTAGCCATTGTATCCTGAAACATTATTTATTATTCATTGATGAATACTAAACTGTAAACTTATATGTTATAATTAAAATTCATACCGTAAGTTGACCAGCAACACCAAAATCAGCTAACTTTGCATGCCCTTCATTATTAAGCAAAATATTTCCAGCTTTAATGTCTCTGTGTATTTTTCGTCGTAAGTGAAGATATTCCAAGCCTTTTAATGTGTCACAAAGAATTGTAGCAATTTCATCTTCTTGTAAAGTTTTCTTTCTTAACCTCATGATATCACTCACAGAGCCAGCTCCACAATATTCCATAACGATCTATTATTAAATAATATATTATAAATTAATTTAATAACCTTCTATTTTATAAAAATAACTTTCAAGGATGAAATTACTCACCCAAAGGTCTGTATTTTTAAAATAACTTCCATAATATTTTACAACATATGGGGAATCACATTGTTGCATAATTGAAATTTCTTTTATAATTTCTTGTAAATCAGTATCAACTGGAACCTGTTTAATTGCGAGCACTTGTCCACTTTCTTTGTGTAAAGCTTTATAAACTGATCCATAACTCCTGAAAATATATGATGTACAAATAATTATTTTCATTTGATTATTTTATTTGTTAAATGTTCAATTTTTAAATTAAAAATAATAATATAAATGATTTCTTACCCTTCTCCAAGTTTACAAATAATGTCAAAAACTTCTTCAGGTTGTCTAGTTAAACTTTCTTCAGATAATTTTTTTAATTCACTTGAAAAATAATTTATTCAATTAATCAATAAAGTATATAATAGATAAAACGAATAAATAAAAATTAATATAAAATATTATGAATAATAAAATAATAAAAAGAACATAATAAAATAATAAAAACTATCAAATAAATAAATTAAAAGTATGTATAATAATTTTAATTTTTGAAAATTATCATAGAGTATAATATAAAAATAGATAAACTTAAAATAGAAATTGAAGAATTGGTCTAATTTAAGCCAACGAAGTAATAACAATCCAATACCTTTTAGAAGACATCTTCGCTTTTACATATGAGAAATTCCTTGATTAAATAAAAATGCATTCGCAAGTATTTACACAATAAACACAAAAATTGTTATAACTATAATCTTTATTTATTTATAAAATCATTATTAATCTCACTTAAACGTAATTACATATTTTTAATTAACAAACTAATGTAACCAAGAAACTAAAATATTAAAAACATCAACCATCGGTCCATTGTAGATGGCGGAGTTCATTCAGTCGCCGTGTCAGTACAACAAACGTCAATGTAGAGGGGAATTTAAACTTTTAAGCTTAATCCACAATCATCGACTCCAAATTAATTGATATTTTCAAAATAAAACAAAAATTATCCATTTTTGAAGTTAATTAAACACGAAAATTATTTATTTTATTCATTAGAAAAAGAAAGGATCAAACATAACCTAATTTAAGGTAGTTTGTAGCAAAAATAATTATTTGGAGTGTAATGTGAATGAACTTGGAATGTAGTTGTTGAAGTTGAATTAGAAATAGGACTTAAAGAAGTTAATACTCCCTACTTTACAGTTTTTTAACCAACCAGTGGTTTAGAAAGAAAAAGCAACAGGCCAACACACATCTTGATGATATGCGTGCAGAGTAGCGACTTTCATACGCGATCAGTGGCTGCTCGGTGTCTCAGTCTTGTGTGGTATTCAATGGTATGAGAGAACCACTCGTACTTTTCTTTCTCTCTCTACCTCTTTCTCTCTTTTTCCTTCTTTCTTTTACATTCTCTTGTTTTGTGTCGAGTGTACCGTGTAGTGTCATCCCCGTCATGATAAAATAATAACTTTTTTGAGTGCTAAAAAAGAATAATTGAACAACAGTGGTGTCAGGTGAATTGGAAACAAAAGTAAGACTGTCGATACAATTGAAAAAAAAACAGAAGATGGAAAAGATATTATTTGCATTATTTGATTATTTTATATTAAAGGGAACGAAGAGGAGCTGTATATGAAGTGAGAGAGTGCCCTAGTCTCCCCGCCTGTGCGAGTTCTACGAAGTGGTTTAATGTCCGGCCTCTATCATCAATCTTAGACTTCGTAAAGTAACGATTAAGAGACTAAAGATCAAGGAACGTCAAGAAGCGTCCTCGAGGAGTGGTTTTTTAAGTGCGGTGACACGTATTAAGGGAAACTCACAACGGCATCCAAGAAGTATCCAACAGAGAAGGTGTGCTGTAAGACCCGGAAACTTAACTGTTGGGAGTGGGAGTGCAACACGACGAACCGCACCAAGAGGGGAAGAGAAAGGGATAGATGGAAGAAACTTGGAGTGTCCGAGGTTTGGAATAAACGTTGAAGATTTGTAAGCGTTTTCTTTACGACACCTATATGTGTATTGTTGTATTTTTATTATCAGTGCTTTTCAAGGAAGAAATTACAACATTGCAAACATCAAGTAGAGTCACGAGTATCGATAGTGCTGCTGGCAAGCTGCTGATCATCAAGCAAGAGTGTGTAAGTCAGTTATAAGACGGCCAACAGGTAAAAACGCTACGGTGAATGTTCGAGGACTGATGAGGGTGTTAGTAATCGAGAGGTGAAATAATCACGTACTCGAAACAAAAAGAGAAAAAGAATAAAACAAAGCAATAAAGCGGAAAATAAAGAAAAAGAAGAAGCCGCATTTTCGTTTAAAACTAAGATCATTGCTGGCGGTGGCGGCATTGTCCTGCTTGTTTTGCTGTCTCGCGAAGCCAGAAAAAAGGTGGAGGAAGAATATAAAAGAGAGATAGTAAGATAGACAAACCTTTGACAACGAGAAACGCACTGAGCATAAAAGAGAAAGAAAAGAGATCGTGGATCTTTTAAGAGGCAGCGGGGAGTCGTGGAACGACTTGAGCCGAGTCGAGCCGAGAAAGATAGCGTCTAAGTGAGAAAGATACTAAGACGGCGACTGGAGAGTGCTGTAAGGTACGTATTTACGTACACACGCGTAGCAAGAGCCGGGAGGAACACGCTACCAATACGGCTGCAACGTAAATTACATACGTGCGCCGCGAACTTATACCCAGTGCCTCGGGAATAACAACCAACATTTTCAACTTGACGTGTACACTTAGCTTTAAGAAAGTTTTAAATTTGAAATAAACTAGTTAAAATGGCGCTTAATCAAGATGTTGATCAATTGTCAAAAGGTAATCTTGTTGTAAGAGTAGATCAAAACTCAGAATCAGATCTTCAAGCTCTCTTTGACAGTGTTTTGAAACCAGACTCAAAAAGACCACTCCAGGTACCGCTTCGTATGCGTAATCTACCAGATTCTTTCTTTAATCCACCATCAACTGGCAGTAAAAGTCCATCAATATCTCATTCACGGGAAAATTCAGCAGATTCAGCTTTTGGCACAGTGGTAACATCAAATGCAGTCAACAATAACGGTTCTAATGCCCCTGGCACCACCAATACTACAGGTGGAACAAGTGCCACTACAACAGGAGCTTCTGGAGCTGCAGGTACAGCATCTGGACTCACAGTAGCTCATCCAAGAGCACATAGTAGTCCAGCATCACTTCAACAAACCTACGCTTCCGCTCAGCAGGCTACTCAACATGCACCTCAACCCCACGCACGACATCATCATCAAAAACAACGCAGCTATGACGTCATTAGTACAGTTGACGATTTAGGGCCATTGCCTCATGGATGGGAACAAGCACGGACGCCCGAGGGACAGATTTATTTCCTTAAGTAAGTCTACATCTTTATAACATTTTAATTACTCATTCAATCTATCACCCTTCTTATATATTCATCCTATTCTTTACCATCTTTCTTCTTTATTTATATCATATTAAAATTATTTTATTTTTTTAGAACAATTGAAAAATGATTTATATATTATAATATATAAATATGTTTAATATTAAAGAGTATCAGTTGCGATGCAGCATCATTCAAAGACACCATCTTAAACTTAAGTCTCAGTATAGCCAACCGGAATAAATCCCTTCCACTTCATTCTTTCATGAGTAGTCTTCATCTCTTTTAAAAGTGTAATGTATGTGTATATACACAGGTATGCATTCACATTTATAAACATATACATATGTCTAGTCACACATGATCAGAATTCTTTTGAATATATATACTCAGCCTGTAAACTGTAAGGTTTAAAACGTATAGGTGTAGATGTTTAACAGACGTCCCCCACGACTCAATGTTTCTCCCAGCGATTCACCTGCGGCGCCATGCCGGTATTCCCACGTGTCACCTGTCGTGGGAAACTCTGTTGAGTTGGTTCCGATGTCCAACCACCTTCACTCACCCACCCACTTGATTCCTTCTATATTATGCCTCAAGAATTATACGACCCCTATCAACTAAGTTTCTTCAGCAACTTGACACCCACGGGAACTTCCGGTCTTTAATCTACTGTTTATACTCAAGTATCTAGATATTTAATTATCATTTTTAAAAGACAAAAAAATTATTTAACACTTAACTTTTTTATTTATTTAAATCTTTTTTTTTTCTTTAAAAACACTAGATAGTTTTATTAAATTATAAATAACTAATTGGGGATAATATTTTATTTAATATTATTATATAAAATATAATTATTGTTCATTTTTAATATTTAAAATTCAAATTTAAAAGTAATAAGAAAAAGAAGCATTGTAGAAAACAGAACGACAGATTTGTACCTTAAAATTTTTCTCTTCATTCACTCTATCTATCTCTATCCTCTTTTGGGTACTTTTTTGAAGTTATCTGTCCTTGTTTCACCTGTAAATCAAGGTTTCTATACCTGTGATGACTAACGAAATCGTGAGAGCGAAAAAGCCTCCTGAACCTTGGGATAGATTTTGTTCACTTTCGAGAACTACCTTAATCATCTTTCACAATTTTTCTTCAACAACCAGACCATCTTACTGTTGTTTCTTCGAAAAATTCATCCGTTTGAATTCTGAATCATCTAATGTAATATTTAAAAAAGAATTTTTTTTTTACTGTTAACTTTCTACCCTTGAAAACTTTATTTCATTATTTATTATCATCTTGAATTTAAAATCATCCAAGGTCATTGAACAGTTCATTGATCATGTAAATGATCAATGTGTACATTTTTCTTTCCACCAATTTATCATGTGATAAATTGTTTAAATTAATATTATTTATAAAATGAAACTTTCGATATATTATATATAATTTAATTATATTTGGTATATTAGAAAATGTATGAAAAAATAGATAAAGCATACATGAAACTAAGTTGCACAATTATTATACCGGAAATACATCGGAAATGGTCGGAAGAAAATTGCGTGCCTGTTGAATTCACTGAGCTGATACATTATTTTAATATATTTCATAGTTGAAAAATAATTTTTATTTCATTATAATCACTTTTTTATCATTTGGTTAGCCAACTACTATATAATTATTATTTTTTTATTCAATTCACTGTAAATTTTTTTTTTTGCTTGATCAATAAATTAATTTATTAATGAATTAATATTAATACTTCACCAATAATAAATTATTATGGTGAAGTTATTTACCAAAATCTATATAATAAAATAATTATTATATTTTTGTTGAATAAAGAATTTTGTACTTGAACAATATTTCACTAAAAAAAAAATATAAATGAGTTATTTAAGTTTGAATGAATAAAAAAAAAAACTGCATGTCAAGTAAATAATAGAAGTAATATTTGTAAATAAAGTTGAACATAAAAAAAATAAAAATTATTAAGAAAAGTTTTCACTTATAAATAATGAATATTCATGGTTCATTGCTGATTACTCAGTGTTTTGCTAGATAATTGTTAAGTTTACAACTTTAGTCACATAATTACCCAATAGTAAATTCGTATTAGAAAAAAAAAAAACAATTTTACAGCAAGCAACAAAAGCTTATTGTATTTTTGTTTAAAAAACACATAGCGATAATTTTACATAAATAAATATTAAAGAGTAACTAAGATTGCTTGTACAATATTTCCAAATTTTTCCTATCATTTTGGACATAACAATTATTATTAGAAAAGTCAAGTTTTATCAGTACAATTTTAATTTTCAAATTACTTGACCAAGGTCAATGAATGAAAGTTGAGTGGGAAAAGTTATTGAGTGCATACATGCGTATTTGTTTGAATCACAATGTGATTCTTTAATCACTTACTTGAAATACATACATTATAATCTAAAATATCTAAAATGGTTACAAAAAATAATTTGAGTTATTAAAATACATACACTGAGAAAAAAATATTTATTTAATTAACAAAAAGAATTAAAAATATTCGCAATACAATATTTCATTTAATTTAACGAAATATATTTTGATATTTGGTTCAAGATTATGATAAGTTTAAATACAAATGACATTGAATTAATTCTTATCTTTTGAAACACCATAGATCTAGAAGAAAAAAAAATCGATACTCTAATGATTTTATTCAAAATAATGGAGCACAACAAAAATGTATTTTTCGAACAAATTATTTTTTTATCGTTTCAAGTATCAGAACTGAATCAATAAAAATATTACCATGTCAATTCTCAAAAAAAGTTTTATTACAACTGTTTAATTTTGATTTCATCAGTAGAAAAAAAAAAAATATTACTTGTCCACAGTAAATTTTTTTCCTCAGCATAAGTATGATATTCACACATAAAAAGCGACATTAATTGTTGGCCGGAAAAAAAGCAACAAATCATTAGGATGTAATGGTAATGGTAAGGATTGGGCTGCATCGCGTTCCCGACGTCGAAAGATTCGAAGTCGGCGGGTGCCCCGTGTGTCTATTTACGAGTTGTTCGGCGCCTCGATGTCCGGAGTAAAAATACATTGTAATTCTCTCTCTCACATATGATGTTTTGCTCTACACACAAAATTCTCTCTCACTTGCTTAACTTCTAGCTCTTTTCTTCTTTTACATCATCAGTGCTTCTACTCGTCTATAAAGCACTAGCGGTTACGGCTGCTACTGTATTTACTTGGCTACTTCAATCTGCCGTGCCTTGGCAACTTTCCAGAAGATGGGTGCGTCCGCGTGTACTCGTGGACACTCTTGACGAACCAGACTACCAAGAGAGAAGCAAAATTGTCGTCTACCAACTTGCAATCTTTCCTTCATTTTTATTTATTCTTTTCTAACTTCAAACCGACACTTAAACTATTGTTACCTTATAACAATAACTGAAAAATATATTGCAAAAAGTGTTGACGTCAACTGGTAACATCAAATTGATCAACAATTAAATTGTTAGGATTTTTTGTTTAAATATTTAAGTTAAGATGAAAGATAGATTTTTTCTTGATATTTATAAGTGAAAAATGAAAGTAATGAATTTATTGATGAAATGGACAAGTACTGAAGAATCAAGTCATGATAAATGTACTCTCTTTAACTAAGCAAACAGGGATTTAGGATTTACGTTGTATGTGTATAATGAGCAGCCGTGAGACACTCGAAAAATCGTGACGTGACATCACCCGTCGGCGCCGCATTTCTAACACAAGGCTGGCTCTTTACGACGTCATGACGAACACAGCTTGAAAAACAATTCCTTTTGCTTGTTAATACTGTTGTGCTAATAGTCATTTATCTCAAGTCACAGTCTCAAAATTAATACATTCTATTTGATAATATGTTAAATAAAATAAGTAATTGTAGAAGCTAAATAAACTAGACAGAAAATAATACTAATTTTTCATCAAGTTTTAATAATGAAATTAAAATGATTATCATACCAATTTTAACTACTTCAACTGATTACCTACAATATATATTTTTATTTTTAATGTTATTATTATATGAAAAACTATTGATGAAATAAACATATGAATTCGTCTAAACCGGATGGGTAGGCGTCTTCTGTTTCCTCACAATCCCTACTTTATGTTCTCTAACATCATCCAATATTTTGAATGAAACTATTTCCGGAGTTGCTATACTATATCAGGCAAATGTACACATATGTTTAATATATACCAATTCTATTTCTATATTTGCACAAAGGAAGAATTATTTGGATGTATAGTAATTTTATTTTTTTTTAATTTTACAGTCATTTAACTCGAACTACAACATGGGAAGATCCAAGAAAAACTGCTGCTGCAGCCAGTGTTGCTGCTGTTGCTGCTGCTGCAGTCGAAAGTGGAAAAGCTTCTCCAGCTGCAACAAACACTTTAGGACCTCTTCCTGAAGGATGGGAACAGGCACGAACTCCTGAAGGTGAAATTTATTTTATTAATCATCAAACCCGTACAACTTCCTGGTTTGATCCAAGAATTCGTAAGTATTTTATTTATTTAAATATTTATAATGATAAAATGATTTTAAATGATGATTAATTATTCTTTTATAGCAACACATCTTCAACGAGCTCCAACAACTAACACAATGCTTCCACAAAATTGGTTACAACCTGGAGCCACTGGTTTACAAAATAATCAAAATATTCAAGTGTGCCAGCAAAAATTACGTTTACAATCGTTACAAATGGAACGTGAACGCTTGAAGCAAAGACAAGCTGAAATAATGAGACAGGTTTGTATAAAAAATTTTTTTATCGCATTTCATGATTATTACGTAACTATCATTTTTATACCTTGGCATTATTATTTTTATTATTGATAATTAGTTAACATTTATTGTGCTTATTATAGCAAGAATTAATGCTGAGACAAAGTACTACCGATGCAGCAATGGATCCATTTTTATCAGGAATAAATGAACAACATGCTCGTCAAGAGAGTGCTGACTCCGGATTAGGTCTTGGATCAGCATATTCTCTTCCACATACACCTGAAGATTTTCTATCCAATATTGATGATAATATGGATGGCACAAGTGGTAGGTACATTTAGTAAATATTTCATTATATGAGCAAGTGTTGAAGTATGTCAATTTATATGTGGAAATATTATTTAAAAATATTTATAGAAGGCGGAGCACCAATGGAAACTCCTGATATATCGACCCTTAGTGATAATATCGACTCTACTGATGATCTTGTACCTTCTTTACAGGTATTTACAATTATTTAATTACTAAACAAAAAACAAATTTAATACTTCTTAAAATATTAAAATTATTATTATCATAACAATTAAATTATTATAATTTATTTAATCTAATAGTTTATTCATGATTATAATAAAATAATGGATTAATTATTTTTAAGCTTGGAGAAGAATTTACAAGCGATATCCTGGACGATGTGCAGTCATTAATAAATCCGAGCACGAAACCTGAGAATGTATTGACGTGGCTGTAGTAACGTCACAAAGACGGTCCACAACAATTCGATCATAGAATGTATGATTGACGTGTCAAATGTTGCGTTATTTAACGCCTCCTCATGAAGAAAAGATATAAAAAATGCGATCAAGTAAAAAAGAAGAATAATTAAGAAAAGTAAACTGAAAAAAAAACTTGATGTTGTAATTGTGAATCAATAAGAGTGACAAGAAACTGTGTGCCTTAGCAACAAAGCTGTCACAAATGTGCCTAATTATTAGTTTTGATCAAATTATTGTAAAAATTTAGTCTATTACTTTTGATTCTATAATAGTTAACTGTTTTTTGAAAAGAAATGAAACATACATTTCTATATCTTTATATATAAGTAGTATGTTTAAACATTTTTAAGAGATTTTCTTGGAATTGGGTCGCATAAAGAGATTATTAATTGTAAGGAGGTTAATTTTGGGAGATTGGGAAACGGAGACTGTTTTTATTTTTGACAATAACGTATAATAAATGTAAATTGACCAACGAATTTTTCATCAAAAATCTGATTAATTATTATTATAATCTACAAACGATCGTAAATGATGTTATATATCATTTATTAAATATCATGTATTGATTAGTATTTAATAATTTCTGATATCATGACGTATCAGATTCATCACTTTTCTATAATTAAATATCCAGTCATGACAGACTGATAAAGTGCAATTGAAAATAATTAATTAACAAAAAAAAACATAATACAATAAAATAAAATCATTTATAATGGATTTAATAGATCAAATCTGTAGAAGTTCGATCATAAAATCGATAGTTTGGCCTTATTAGAAGCAAAATAATTGTTATCAAAAAAATTATAGAAAAGCAATCGATAAATATAACGAATAAAATCAAGATTCATACATGTATAAGATAAGAATGAGTTACGATGTGCCTTAAGGTTTATAATGTTTAAACTTCACAGTTAATTAACTCGACGATATGAGTCGTCAATTTTGAATGAAATAACCGTCCATATTAAACATTTATTATCTCAATACATTATTATTAATATTATAATAATTAAAATTGAAAAAGAAAATTGACGTATTCAATTAATAAATATGAATATAATTAGATAATACAAAAGCTATAAGAAAAAAGAGAAATTTTTTCAAGTTAAAATTACTAAATATTACAATAATCAGATCAACTTGATAAATGTATAATAATTAATAAGTATATTCGTATATATTTTTTTTATATGTAAAGTCTATGAATGTTGCAAATGAAAAATATTAAGTTGTCTTGTTAGATTGTAAAATTTCTGATACTTTTTTTATTACATCGTTAATAATAAGATATAAGTTGCTTTTTGAGAATTACTAAGACAAAAAGAGCATCGTATTATGAGATGTAAAAGTATACATTAGAAATAATTAACTTTTAGGAATAGACTCTTTTTGTCTATATAATATTTCATACTACCTTCTCTAAGTATTGTCTCTAAGTTAAAAAAATAAATCATGTTAATATTAAAGAGAATGATTTAATATCAATATATTTATAAAACTGTTCAGACAATACTACTATTCTAAATGAACGATTCTGTTGAACTCACATTTTAGAAATCGTTCAATTATTAATTATGTTATAAGAAATAATGAATATTTTATTGTCAATTATTAATGATAGCTATTGCTAAAGTTAAAGTTTATGTATACTCGTGCGATAATATATTATATAATACTAGTATGAAATTCTATGAAAAAATGAATATTTTTCGATAAAACTAAGAAACTTTGTATCGCTCGTTTTTTTGTCGTTAAAAATTGTGAAAAAATTATTAATTGTTAAATAACGAAAATTTTTATATTATATTTTCAATTGTAAATTTATAATTGAAATAAGCTCTCTACACTTTTCGTTGAAAATGAAGAAAAGTTGTTGAGATGCACATAAGACATTTTTGATTGAAATACCTTATATGAAAATACACACGTAAAACTTGATTCTGTATTTTTCATTAGAAAGTTTTCAGTGTGAAATCAAGAATGTGCCTTATTTTGTAGTAATTACGTTATTTTATAGAAATTTGGTTGATTTCATACTGCGTATTTGCTTGCAAAATTAATGTTAAAGAAGGAGAAAAAAAAACAATTAATATATCATATAATTGCAATAATTCTAATTTACATGATATTATGTAATAATAGTTGAGGAAAAAGATGATTGATTGACTTTGAAAAAATATGTGTAAATGTTAAACTTTATGTATACAATAATATTGTTTTTATTAATGTTTAAATATTAAATAATTTACATTTTCGGCATCATATAAGTCAGCATTACTTGTTAATAACAATTAATATCATTAATATTAATTATTTAAAAAGTTATTTTTCCGTCGATATATCAAAGTATGTAGATACCTCGATATTGTGTACGTATTGTAATTTATAATATTAACGTTTTGTCACGACATTCTTTTGATAGACGCATGTGTGAATTTTACACTGAGACGGTCAATTATTTACACATTATCACTTTAATACTATACTTGAGTAAAACAATTGGATGTTTGATACCAGTATTTGATTATGCTCATTGGCGATATATTATTGTCACGTACATTTTTATATTCATAACAAGTGCCTTAGTTATAATAATGAAAATAAACATATTTCTTGTTTACTTATAAATGTGAATTTTTTTTTAATTAAATACTTTTTTTATTGAAAAATACAATAATAATTCTATTAAATATTTTTTATATTATTAATTTTTAAACGAATAATAATTGAAAATATTTTTAACAATTCATTAAACTTTTAAAAATAATTATCCCATTGAATTATCTTTAATTTTTAATGGAAATATATTTTATGAATCTTAATTTTTTAATTATGAGTCATCGTCTCTTTGTTAAATCAAATTTATTCCGTCTATTTAATACCCAAATGTAATTAAAGTTCGAATTAATTTTACTATAGTTTATAAAATATATTTATTCGGTATTTCGTTGAATAAAAATAAAATAAAGTAGCGTCAGCCATTCTAGTTCAGACGAATATAAGCTTAGGCGGCAACAGATTTGTGATTTGGTAAGGGGTGGAACCTCGACCGTATGTGTATGGGGAGCTTTAACATCAGTGACGTGCGAGGGTGAACGAGGATTGAAGCCATTCTCTCATGGGATTCGGTTTTTTCAGCTACTACCCCTTACAACTAAAGTATTTTTATGATAAAATAAATATGTATTCAGAAGAAAAATCTATGATATTTTCCATAAAGCTGGGAAAGTTTCTCTTGCTTGAAAAAATGTATATTTCAATTTTACGTTTATATCCATGAGCTACAGACGTAGACTAAGATATAATTATGCTTTTATTTACATTGCATATTTTACTTATCCTAAAGGATTTAAGATTGAAGAGAAAGCTTGGAGATTTTTTATATTTCCGTCTAAAAAATGGTGAAGTTTGGTCAGTTCCATCAGTATATGGCCCTAATCCACGGTAATAAAATTAATATGAGAAAAATGAAGGAAAAGGATTAGACTTTCGTCGTTGCCATTGTCAGGTATTAAGACAAAAAAATGATGTGGTAGAAGAAGAATAACCAAAAATCTTGCGGATTAGTGCCTCCTACCTGCGTTCTTTTAGCAACCCTTTTCCCTACATACTTTGAATGTTTTTATATTCAAAGTATTTCCATATTGTTCCATCACTTTCTATTTACTTTTTTCCTTAATTTTTTGTTCTCCAAATTCTTCAAACTCTTTCTATCTTCTTGATCCAGTTGTTAAATGTTTACTCCCATCAAGCTTTAAATAAATAAAAACTTAACCTTAGAGACTTAGGGGAAAATATTCTATTTTAAAATTGAAAATATTCAAAAAATAAAAAAATTGTTACTGTAAAAAAAAATAAGGTAACAGATAAATCGCTAGATAAATAATAACTGTAGAGTGACGGGAAAAAATCAGTAAAAACGTGAGATTTTTTTTTGGACACACTTGTTATTGGGTGACTAAAAAAAAATGTACTATTGTGTACAGGTATACACACTTGTTGATTTAGATTGGGTGTTAAAAAAAAAACACATATAAGTACACCCCAAATTGATCTTCATTCTTGTGTATCATGTGGAATCAACAGTATTGGATAAATGTTAAAAAAAACTCCCCTATACTTTCAACAGGTTAGTTTCCCTTTTTTTAACTTCGAGTGGGATAAAAAGTGTAAGTATGTAATGTGAACCAATGTATTAATAGTGAGCTACTTGAAAAAAATACGCGTGAAAAAACTCCCCTTCATTTTAACAGGTTAAATCCTTTTGTGATCAGGGCGTGGTGAACAGGATTTTTTGAAGCCAATGCGGTTTATCTTTTGCAGACCCTTGTACGTGATTTCTCACATTATTTAACGGATCAGCCATTTTAAAGGGTTGGTAGTACAAATCAACACGTTTTTACCAATCAATTAGGGTGTCTCATCTGTTACCAAATGACTTCCTGATAAAACAAGTTTTTTTCAAATGTTTCTTACATTTAAAATAATAATTTATTAATAAAATATTATTTATATAAATCATTAGAGAATATTAAAGAAAAGGAGTAGCACTCACTACATTTTTTTTTCTTTAAATTATTTATAGATAGGAAAAATAAACTTTGAGGTTATGATTGTTACATTTATATGTTTATGTATTGACTAATACTTGAAGACAGGCTGGATAAAATAGAAAAAAGGTAATGTTTTTTTTATATTAATTTATAAATAAATACGGCTGTTGAAATAAAGCAAACGGAAGTTTTAGGACGTGTACGAGTATGACCCTTGGGATATCGGGTGTCGACTGTGGGTCAAGGTGGATTTTTGAAGAAAAAAAAAAAATTTGAAAAAAAGAAGCACATACGGTGAAAAAAAATCCCAAGGGGTGGAATAGCAAGGTTTGAAAAGTGGCCGGAATTAACGCGTGCCAGAGGGTTCTCCCTTACCTCAACAGTTCTTTCAGGGGAGCATTATTACTACATATATGGTACAGGGGAGCACGCGCAGGCGATCTTAGTTGCTCCGCCTTTAATACGAAAGGTCCGCGTGCCCCTCAGAAAAAGCGATACAAAAAAAAAATTATAAATGAAAATGATCACCGAAACAGACTACGCATACTCTAATTCC